ATAAAGGTCAGAATTGCTCATCGATTTGAAGAGGACATTTGATAAATTGACATGTCTTGGTGCTAAAACATGAAGTTAACAACTCATTGTAAAGTTTATATTCTTTGCTGTGGGTTAAATTGTAAAGTTGTCTATCTCTGGGACATTTAAAGCTTCATGTGTTATTATTCACATTGTCATGCTGTAAAATAACTAAAGTAAATGACAGACTGATGTGCAAACTTTCGAGATGACATGATTTAGCCATTTTTTGTGATTTATCTACTTGGATGATTGAGCCTTCAAACCTGTTCTCTCCTGGTATAGTACCTTTGAACCTACTGAGAGGGCATGAAGATCCAGAACAACTTGACAGGCTGCAAGTGTCAGTAAAACTTTACAAAAAATATTAAATTAGTTAAGCAAATCTTTCTGCCTAAACCCAACGAACCGAGACATCTTAATCTGATGATTTTCTATTTTCAAGACACTATCTAATAGCTGGGGGAGAAACAGCACAGCGTCTCCAAAAGAGCTAATTAGCTCTTGCTGCCAAAAGGCAGATACATGATAGGTGTCAAGAAAGCTGAGAAGTAGAGTGGACAGAGAGAAGCTGGATGACTGCGAACTTCTCTTCTTATTCTGTCACTCTGTCCTTTGGGCAGACTTTGTGTTGGACTCAATGCAGTGCAACATACAAACTATTGAAATGATCATCAGGACTGTGCAGGTGTCAGATATCCTCTTTAAGACGGAGTGTTTGTGACACACAGACATCCTACTGCTCCCACAGACACTCATAACTAATTCACCAGATTTATTTCTTGCTAGCAGCTGCTGCTAATTACCCAAAGTTAATTAAAAAAGGAAACAAAAAAGTTATTTTAGTTAAGTTACGACCCCTAGTGGTAGTTAACGATTTTGCAGCGCACAAGTACTCCAGCTACATTTTAAAGCAAAGGATAACGTGATACATTTATCAACCACGTGTTTCTTAGGGTGATGGGGGGGGGGACAAAACCTGGAAAATGGTGCAGTTCTTCAATCTTCTTGTTTCTGTATTTTGTTTGATGTTTTATGGGTTTAAATCTCTTAATATATCATTTCTTCTCAGTCACTTAAGGGTCTGAATGGTCCTGTTTTAAAGTGCATCAGTTTTTGTCAAAATACTTTATTCATTTTCTTTAATAACTATATTTAACCTGGGTCTCTGATTTATTCTTTAACTCTCCACACACTTACAGGAACATAGTTCATTAAAGGCTTACTTTTTATAACCTTTTCTAATTGTCTTTTCATGTGTGTTCATATCTGGCGTTGTCTTGTTTTTAAAACAATTTCTGACATTGCACCTTGTATGCTCTCTTTGTTTCTCTCTATAGCCGGCAGAATGGTAATGACAGACCTGTTAAAGGCTGAGGACATCAAGAAAGGTCTTGATGCCTTCGCAGGTCTGTAACCACTTTATTTTCTCCAGGTCAATATGTTATTGTAAGCAGAAAACAAAGCAATGAAACCAAGTGCCATGCGATTTGCCTCTGATCCTGATGAACATCTTTAAATCCTAAGTTTTATAACGCAGGCTAAAATGTTCTACTGTTTCAGACTGCATCTTTTACTTTACTTTTTGTAGCAGTAACCTTTGAACCCAAGAAGTTCTTTGAAACGGTGGGAATGAAGGCCATGTCAGCTGAGAACGTCAAGAAGGTCTTCCAGGTTCTGGATGTGGACGGTAGCGGTTTTATAGAGGAGGAGGAGCTCAAGTAAGAATGTCAAACAAAGCACAAATAGGCAGATGCCACGACCTCATAAATATAATACATATTGTCAAGCGTTACTCACAACATCTTCAACTGTTTGCAGGTTTGTACTGAAAGGGTTTTCCAAAGAAGGCAGGGATCTGACTGATGCAGAGACAAAAGCATTCCTCCAAGCTGCTGACAAAGACGGTGATGGCAAGATCGGCATTGACGGTGAGAGTTAGGGGACAGATGTCAAAGCTTTAAATATTTCACATGTGGAAAAAGGAGCACCAATATATCTAAAGTATTTATTCTTGTTGCAATGTCAATTTTGCAGATTGTAACAGTTTGCTACAACCAATTGTACAAACTACTGACAATAAATCTTAAGTATTGTGCTCATAAAGATAATGAGGCTTGATTTGTTTAATGAGCAAGACACCCCCCAATTATTATTATTTTTTGCTGTTTTGTGTTAAACTGATTTACTGTAAGACAGACTGCAGTGGTTTTTTAGTATTAGTGCAATATTAAACAAAGTACTATTTTTTGGACTATAAGGCATATTTAAAATCCTTTAATTTTCTCAATCGACAGTGAGCCTTATGTATTAATTCTGGTTGTGCTCACTGACCTCGAGCTGATTTTATGTGGTTATTATGAATGAGGTAAATAAAGTTTGACTTATCTGACTGTTTTGTTTCACTTAAAGTGCACTTTAGTCCAAAAAATATGGTAGTTCTGTTATTTGACCCTGTTTTACTTTTCTTTGTATTTTCAGAGTTTGAGGCCTTGGTGCACGAGTAGGGGGCATCTGAACCCCCTTCTTCTTCCTCCTCCTCATGGACCCCACATTCATATTTTGTAACTTCCACCTTCAAGCTCTTCTGTTCTCCCTCCACCCCCCAATAAACGGAGTCAGACCAGGCTTGCTCCACATAAAAACACTAACAAAAATAAAGGTTAATGAGGAGTTGCCATGAGGGGAATCAGACACTAAAAGACATGTTTCATTTATAATTTTTTCATTTTTATATATAGTTACCCATAAATGCTGTGTGAATTTTAGGGTTAAGAATAATGAGGAAAGTGTGTGGTCTAGTTTTAAAACAGGTGGTAGTAGTGCTGTGAATGGTGTAGATGTTCACGACTCATTTAATCTATTTTTTGTTTTCATCTGTTTTACATTCAGTTGTGCATTTTGTCTCAACTTTTTTTTTTTTTTTTTTTGGATGCTCACATATCAGTTCACCTTCTTCCTTCTTTTCTTCCTCATCTAACCTCCCTAACCTCATTTCTCTCACCTCTATCTCTTCCTCCTCCTCCTCCTCCTACTCCTCCTCCTCACTCTCTGCCTCTGAACACGTGACGTAGTGGAAAAAAATAACATTTATAAGGAGAGCTGTGAAGAGAAAAGACATCAGTAAAAAAAAAAATAATAAAAAACTTTTCAAATATCGTGTCTTAACTTGTTTTTACTCCTTGCGATCACAAAACAAACACAAAATATACAAGTGGAAACTTTTTAAAAAAATGTTCAAACGAGAGCAAATAACGCTGAATGTAGTTGTTTTTCTCACCCGTTATTAAATAAAATGCACATTTCATATACAGAATGTGGACAAACGGCAGACTGGTGATGAAAATGGGCACACAGCCGAGCAGACAGCAAATTATAGAAGGAACAACAAGTCAGATGCAGCTCATAATTAAACAAACAAAACACAAAACTTTTCTTCAGGACACGAGTGAGGCTAGTTGATTATTTTATGGTCTTTACGTTAATCAAACCAGATACTGGCTGCAGCTTAGAGCATTGGTTTCTTCTAAAACTGTTCTTTTTATATTTTTACTTTACAGTACAAACACAAAACAACATACTATCCTGATGACTGCACAAAATGTGTTCAAACAAACATTCCAGTTTATGTTTTTTAATTATTTAAATGTATTAAAGAGTTACATTAAAATCTTCAAGCATTTTTTTTTTTGTCCATCAGGCTAAAGGCCTTCATAGGTCAGTGCACAACAAACTTTTATATCCTGCCTCCGTGTGTTAACTTCAGAGTGTGTGGCTCCAACTCTGCCTCCATCAGTGGATCTGAGGAGCAGATCTGTCATTGGTCGTCGTGGGGCGAAGCTTTACCGTGGCAAACGGGTTTGTGCCTCTGAAACGAGAGCACGATGGAAAATGTTACACAATACTGGGCACGCTTAGCTGCGTTTCACCAAAACACACTCACCTGAGCCAGGATAGAAAACCGACACCGCACTCACCCCGTTGAGGAGGCTACATTTTCACTTTTGGCTGCGCAACATGCTTCGCGGGTCAGTTTTCTACAATTCAAACTTGGCCGTTTTGAAAAGTTGTAGTAGGATTTAGAGCTCATCCACTAAATGCAGAATAAAACCAACGAAACTAAAGCGCAGATGAGCAGATAGCACCTGATAATACCAAACTGTATTCGTACTGTGGTTGAAGAATCTGAAATAGCACTAAAATGTCCAGTAAAACGCAAACAGCAGAATAATACCCAACATTTTTCAGTCAGGTCATCTGGACAGTTTCTTTTTTTGTGCTGAAACGTTTCGCCTTTGATCCGGAAGGCTTCATCAGTCAAGGAAAC